AGCAAATGATGCGTGAGAGAGCTGGTCTGTGGCACACCAGGGTCTGTCTGCAATTTTTGCACATGTGCAAATAAAGTGTGAATACGCGCGTTTCTATCCATGTATTTTTGCGTTTTTTCATCTATGTCTTTCTGTTCTGTTCTGTTTTGTTCTGCTCTGCTCTTCCCTGTGTCTTTGTTCCCCACATCTTTGTGTGAGGTTCTTGTTTTTGGTTCTGTATCCTGTCCGCCTCCTCTCCTCTTCTTTCCGCCCGTGCTTCGTCACACCAACTTTCACACAACTTTTTCATACACACGCCCACATTTTTGTCACACACACAACTTTGTCACACACACATCTTTGTCACACACAACTTTGTCACACTCCATCTTTCACACACAACTTTGTCACACACATCTTTGTCACACACAACTTTGTCACACTCCATCTTTCGCACACAACTTTGTCACACACATTTTTGTCACACACAACTTGGTCACACACATCTTTGTCACACACAGCTTTCTCACACACAACTTTGTCACACACAACTTTGTCACACACACACACACACACGCACACACCATCTTTCACACTCAACTTTGTCATACACATCTTGTCTCACACAACTTTGTCACACACCATCTTTGTCACACAACTTGGTCACACACGTTTTTGGCACACACACACAGCTTTGCCACACACACACACACACGCAACTTTGTCACACACAACTTTGTCACACACACACACACCATCTTTCACACACAACTTTGTCACACACACATCTTTGTCACACAACTTGGTCACACACATCTTTGTCACACGCAACTTTGTCACACACCATCTTTGCGCGGCTGGCGTGGTGGCCCTTGGCGACATCGACTTTGCATTTGCGTGGCAGGCGTAGCACTTGGCGACATCCACCTACGCCTACGCTTTGTGTGGCAGGCCTGGCACTTGGCGACACATCCACGGCACTTTGTGTGGCACGCATGTGCCACTTATGGCATGGTGGCGCGCTGTCGCGCGGTTGCGTCGCAGGCGTGGCACTTGGCGACATCGACGTTGCATTTGCGTGGGAAGCGTGTCGCTTGGCGGGATCCACCTATGTTTGCGTGGCAGGCATGGCGCTTATGGCACTGGGCTGCGTCTGGTGGCGCGCTTCAGGTCGCGCGGGCGCCGCGGCACCTTGCGTGGCAGGCGTCGCACTTGGCGACATCCACCTGCACTTTTCGTGGCAGGCCTGGCGCTTGGCGACATCCACCTATGTTTTGCGTGGCAGGCGTGGCACTTATGGCACTGGGCTGGGTCTGGTGGTGCGGTTGGGGGGCGCTGCGGCACTTTGCGTGGCAAGTGTGGCGCTTGGCGACATCCACCTGCACTTTGCGTGGCAGGTCTGGCACTTGGCGACATTCGCCTACGTTTTGTGTGGCAGGCGTGGCGCATATGGCACTCGGCGCAGCACTTTGCGCGGCAGGCGTGGCACTTGGCGACATCGACCTTGGTTTGGCGTGGCAGGCGTGGCACTTGGCGACATCCACTTGCACTTTGCGTGGCAAGCGTGGCACTTGGCGACATCCACCTATGTTTTGCGTGGCAGGCGTGACACTTATGGTTATCAAGGCCGGCTGAGCTACAGAAGGGTTGTAGTAGTTTGAATGAAAAATGGAAAAGTTGTGTTTTAAAAATGCATTATTTTTGAAATGTGAAACAATGTATTTTCAAAATGTAAAAGCAATGTGAAAAAATGCATTTTTAAAAACAATTTTAAAGCTTTGTTCCTTGTCCTTCTGCATTTGATTTGATGTTTTTGCTCCTGATAGTCATTGCTATGCTATAGATATATTAAACGGATCTGCGATCTGCACAGTCCACTTCCGATCGATTTGAACTGCTCCTCTCCGATTTTCAACCTGCAGAAGTTGGGCAGGCAGCAAAGTAACTGCAGCAAAACTGGACCCAAAAAATCCAAGTTCCACCTTCCCAACTGGGTGTTCAAATGTGTTTTTTCAATTTTTTCACATTTTTTCTCATTTTTTCACATTTTCACACTTTTTCATATTTTTTCACGTTTTTTTCCAAGTGCATTTTCAAAACGCATTTTTTAACATTTTTTCTAAGCGCATTTTCAAAACGCATTTTTCCCGCATTTTTTGACATTTTTTCACAAAAGTTAAACAATGCGAAAAACATGCGTTTTGATAATGCGCGTGGATAAAAATTGCGAAAAATGCGTTTTGAACATGTGAAAAAATGTTACTAAAATGTGGGAAAATGTAAAAATGGGAACAAAAGGCAGTTGAAAAGTTCCTGTTTCTTAGCACCATTTTTCCATTTTTCCAGATATAGTTTTTTTTTTCAGGTTTTCTTGAAAGTCCAATTTTTATGTATAGAATATTAAACTTAAACATTAGAATTCCACATAGGCATATATTCATTTTCAATGATTCATGTCAATAGGTTCACAATGAATGTAAATTCCTTTCAATTTTAACGAGGAAAATTACTAAAAATGAATTTCCTGTTTTTCAACATTTTTCCACATTTTCACATTTTTTTGAAATGCATTTTTTCACATTTTTTCCAAGCGCATTTTCAAAATGCTTTTTTTTTCATCCTGATTCGCATTTTTTCACATTTTTAATCAATCATTGTTTTCAAGCTTGTAGCTGGAAACGGCCATGATAAGCTTATGGCATTGGGCTGGGTGTGGTGGCGCGCTTGGGGCCCGTTGGTCGCCCAGGGCGCCGTGGCACTTTGCGTGCCAGGCGGCATTTGGCGACATCGACGTTGCATTTGCGTGGGAGGCGTGGCGCTTGGCGACATCCAACTACGTTTTGCGTGGCAGGCGTGGCATTTATTATGGCACTGGGCTGCGTCTGGTGGCGCGCTTGGGGCTTGTTGGTCGCCGGGGCGCTGCGGCACTTTGCGTGGCAGGCGTGGCGCTTATGGAACTGGGCTGGGTCTGGTGGTGCGCTTGGGCGCCCGGTGGTCGTCCGGGGCGCCGCGGCACTTTGCGTGGCGGGCGTGGCGCTTGGCGACTTCGACCTTCGTTTGGCGTGGCAGGCGTGGCACTTGGTGACATCCACGACTTTGTCACAGACAACTTTGTCACGCACAATCTTTCACATCTCTCTCTCACATGCAACTTTATCGCACACAGCTTTGTCACACACAACTCTTTCGCACAATATTTTTTTCACACACATCTCTCTCACACACAACTTTGTCACCCGCAACTTTGTCACACACACAATCTTTCACACACATCTCTCTCACATGCAACTTCTCTCTCACACACATCTTTGTCACATACAACTTTGTCACGCAGCTCTTTCACACACAACTTTGTCACACACCATCTTTCACACACACACGCACGCAGCTTTGTCACACACAACTCTTTCGCACACAACTTTTTAAAAACTTTGTCGCAGAGAAAGAATCTTTCACACGCAACTTTGTTACACGCAATCTTTCACACACACAACTTTGTCACACACGTTTTTGTCACACACACACAAAATCTTTCACACACAACTTTGTCACACACACACATCTTTGTCACACACACACAACTTGGTCACATCCATCTTTGTCATACCCAACTTTGTCACACACGCACAACTTTGTCACACACAATCTTTCACACTCAGCTTTGTCACACACGTTTTTGTCACACACACACAGCTTTGCCACACACGCAACTTTGTCACACACAACTTTGTCACACACACACAACTTTGTCACACACAACTTTGTCACACACACACCATCTTTCACACACAACTTTGTCACACACACACACATCTTTGTCACACAACTTGGTCACACACATCTTTGTCACATGCAACTTTGTCACACACCATCTTTGTGTGGCCGGCGTGGCGCTTGGCGACATCAACGTTGCATTTGCGTGGCAGGCGTGGCACTTGGCGACATCCACCTACGCTTTGCGTGGCAGGCCTGGCACTTGGCGACTTCCACTGCACTTTGCGTGGCAGGCGTGGCACTTATGCAATGGTGGCGCGCTTGAAGCCAATTGGGCGCGCGGGGCGCCGCGGCATTTTGCGTGGCAGGTGTGGCGCTTGGCGACATCGACATTGCATTTGCGTGGGAAGCGTGGCGCTTGGCGGCATCCAACTACGTTTTGCGTGGCAGGTGTGGCGCTTATGGCGCTGGGCTGCGTCTGGTGGCGCGCTTGGGGCTTGTTGGTCGCCGGGGCGCTGCGGCACCTTGCGTGGCAGGCGCGGCACTTGGCGACATCCACCTGCACTTTGCGTGGCAGGCGTGGCGCTTGGCGACATCGACCTTCGTTTGGCGTGGCAGGCGTGGCACTTGGTGACATCCACGACTTTGTCACACACAACTTTGTCACGCACAATCTTTCGCATCTCTCTCTCACATGCAACTTTATCGCACACAACTTTGTCCACACAACTCTTTCGCACACAATTTTTTCACACACATCTCTCTCACACACAGCTTTGTCACCTGCAACTTTGTCACACGCAATCCTTCACACACATACATCTCTCTCACATGCAACTTCTCTCTCGCACACATCTTTGTCACACACAACTTTGTCACGCAGCTCTTTCACACACAACTTTGTCACAAACAACTTTGTCACACACACACAGCTTTGTCACACACAACTCTTTCACACACACAGCTTTTTACAACTTTGTCACAGACAATCTTTCGCACACAACTTTGTCACACACGCAATCTTTCACACACAACTTTGTCACACACACACAGCTTTGTCACAAACTAATTTGTCAGACACAACGCTTTCACACGCACAAAACTGTCACAGACAATCTTTCACGTACAACTCTTTCTCGCACAACTTTGTCACACACACAACTTTGTCAAACGCACAACCTTTTACACACACACACAACTTTGTCATACACAACTCTTCACATACAACTTTTAAAATGATTGATCCTCCACCATCTTTTTTGTCCCTCCTTCATTCTCCGTGCCGCTTCAAGCATTTTTTGCGATTACTGGAAGAAGTTGACTTGTGGGGTTTTCCTGTCCTTCAATTTTTCTTGGTTGCTTATTGCTCCCTCTGTCAACCTGTTTGTCAGTCAATCAATTTATCTATGTGTCTCCTGAAATGCCCCTCGGCCTCAACACCTAGCTATCTACCAGTAGTACCGCACGGGAAACGTATAGGGGTGGTTGATGTTGTGAATCATGGATGAGGAGTTTGATGTTGTGAATAATGGATGGCAGAGCGAACCCACTGATGGACGGAAAGGTGGTTGGAGTGTCGGGCTACCTATCTGTCTATCTATCTGCCTGTCTGTCTGTTTATCCATCTGTGTCTCTATCTAGCTAGCTATCTATCGATTGATCTTTCTATCTATCTGTCGACCTATTTATTATTTAACTGTCTATCTATCTGTCTATCTATGTGTCTAACTATCTGTCTTTCAACCTATCTATCTGTTTGCCTATCTACCTGTCTATCCAACTATTTATCTATCCATTGGTCGATCTATCTATTTAACTCTCTATCTGTCTGTCTGTCTGTCTGTCTGTCTGCAAACCTATCCGAATGTACCTCCCGACCTGCCTATCTATTTATCAATCTATCTATCTATCTATCTACCTATCTATCTATCTACCTATCTATCTATCTATCTATCTATCTATCCATCTATCTATCTATCTATCTACCTGCTATCTAGTTATCGATCGATTGATCGATCTATCTACCTATCTACCTATCTACCTATCTATCTGTCTATCTATCTATCTGACTATCTTTTCTGATCTTTTCTGACCTTATCTGGTCTTATCTGATCTGATCTTATCTGTCTTATCTATCTGTCTTATCTATCTGTCTTATCTATCTGTGTTATCTATCTGTCTTATCTATCTGTCTTATCTATCTGTCTTATCTATCTGTCTTATCTATCTGTCTTGTCTATCTGTCTTATCTATCTGTCTATCTATCTATCTGTCTGTCTGTCTGTCTGTCTCTCTGTCTATCTGTCTATCTGTCTATCTGTCTATCTGTCTATCTGTCTATCTGCATATCTGCCTATCTATCTGTCTCTCTGCCTATCTACCTATCTATCTATCTATCTATCTAATCTATCTAATCTATCTAATCTATCTAATCTATCTTATCTATCTTATCTATCTTATCTATCTTATCTATCTTACCTATCTTATCTATCTTATCTATCTTATCTATCTTATCTATCTTATCTATCTTATCTATCTTATCTATCTTATCTATCTTATCTATCTTATCTATCTTATCTATCTTATCTATCTTATCTATCTTATCTATCTTATCTATCTTATCTATCTTTCTATCTTATCTATCTTATCTATCTTATCTATATCTATCTTATCTATCTTATCTATCTTATCTATCTTATCTATCTTATCTATCTTATCTATCTTATCTATCTATCTATCTATCTATCTAATCTATCTAATCTATCTAATCTATCTAATCTATCTAATCTATCTAATCTATCTAATCTATCTAATCTATCTAATCTATCTAATCTATCTAATCTATCTAACCTATCTATCTATCTAATCTATCTAATCTACTAATCTATCTAATCTATCTAATCTATCTAATCTATCTAATCTATCTAATCTATCTAATCTATCTAATCTATCTAATCTATCTAATCTATCTAATCTCTAATCTATCCAATCTATCTCTATCTAATCTATCTAATCTATCTAATCTATCTAATCTATCTAATCTATCTAATCTATCTAATCTATCTAATCTATCTAATCTATCTAATCTATCTAATCTATCTAATCTATCTAATCTATCTAATCTATCTAATCTATCTAATCTATCTAATCTATCTAATCTATCTAATCTATCTAATCTATCTAATCTATCTAATCTATCTAATCTATCGAATCTATCGAATCTATCGAATCTATCTCTATCCAATCTATCCAATCTATCCAATCTATCTATCTATCTCTATCTATCTATCTGATCTATCTGATCTATCTCTAATCTATCTAATCTCTATCTATCTATCTATCTAATCTATCTAATCTATCTATCTAATCTATCTAATCTATCTAATCTATCTAATCTATCTAATCTATCTAATCTATCTAATCTATCTCTAATCTATCTAATCTATCTAATCTATCTAATCTATCTAATCTATCTAATCTATCTAATCTATCTAATCTATCTAATCTATCTAATCTATCTAATCTATCTAATCTATCTAATCTATCTAATCTATCTAATCTATCTAATCTATCTAATCTATCTAATCTATCTAATCTATCTAATCTATCTAATCTATCTAATCTATCTAATCTATCTATCTATCTATCTATCTATCTATCTATCTATCTATCTATCTATCTATCTTTGTAGCATGCAACAATCTAGCTGGCTAGCTTTCTATCTATCTGAATGGGTGTGTTTGATGCCTCATAGTATTCACCACAGGTCATCATCAGTGCATCGGTGTTTGGACTTAGGTCCGGCCTGGCGGATTGACAATGGATCCAGCAGTCGGCTTTGCTGAGCTGCAGCGCCTGGTCTCATTGGAAACTGCATGTTCACATTTGAAGACTGAAACACTTGCAGCTTTTCAGCCTCTCGCAGCACTGCGTTGTCATGGCTTTCTCGTTGCCATTGCGCCGAGCTGTGCAGGTTCAACCAAGGAGATACATATGTGGGGAATGTGCCACGAGCAGATGTTGCCGCAGTTTGCTCTTTGGCAGCAGGTTTATGCCAGCTTCTGTCCTTATAGGACCATGGTTACACAGAGTTTGTGTTGTTGGGTTCCTTGTCTGCGACGTGCCTTGCCAAGGTGCTGTTGCTGCAACAGATCCCTTGAACAGTGGAGCAGGAAAAACTTTCGAAATGTTCAAGGCTCTTGACGCAATTGTCTGAGTGTGGGCTTTGGTACGCACTTTGGCGTCCTGCGGTTGGTTTTCTTTCAGTTCACTGATAGATCATGTTGATCGGCGTGGGCGGTTACCAAGCTTCTACGTTGCAACTGCAGGGTGACAAAAACAAACCAAATTCGGCTCTGTGAGAGGCCCGCACTCGGCAGCCGCTCTTGCCGTGGTATCGTGGAAAGACTCGATCCATGGCTTTAAGCGATTGCTTGCTGGACGCAGTCACATTTGATGCGAGTGTCACTTCTTTCATACCTTCACGTAAGTTGCCCGATGTCGGTGAAACATTCATCTCGCTTCACCAAGGATACATCGTGGGAAATGTTCCTGATGGAAGTGCTGCTGGCCCTGTCACATTCAGACAGAATGCGTTTGGAGATGTTGCATTGCATATTGACACCGCAAAACTGTACAAACTTACGTAAATATACATGCATTAGAGGCGTTGCTGGGCTTCAACCAACTAGACTCTAGACATGCAATGTGATGCAATGTGATGCAATGTGATGCAACGTGATGCAGCTGCTCTTGGAGTTGTGTATGGTTTTGCTGGGTGAAGCTGGAGCTTCGGTGCCTAGATGTATGGTCGCCATCCCGATGCCGATGTTGTGCGTGTTGATCAAATGAAGAACCAAGCCAAAGATAGGCACAAACCAAGTGACCAGTCTCGTGTGGAGGGTCTTTAGCACGGTCAGATTCTGTGGATGTCTGCACAATTTGCATCTATTTGCCTGCCTACTTTGCTTTTTGTCTGCCTACATTTGTCCCCACCTTGCACCCATTTCTTTATTGCATCTATTTGTGGTGTATCAACAGTCTGGTATTCAGAGTAGGCATCTGATTTTTGGCATCCTCGTTTCACTTGTTTGGAACATTTTCCGAGGCCATGCTCGCTCGTCTCAGGCAGGAACTGCAGGAATTTTCACGAAACCTACGCGTTCTTCACAGCAGTTTGCAAAGGAGGGGTATTTTTTTTGGCATTTTTTTTTTTTGGCAATTTTTTTTTTTGCTTCTGGCTTTTGGCTTTTGGCTTCTGGCTTCTTGGGTTTCTGGCTTCTGGCTTGTATTTGCTGCATTTTGGAGCCAACATCTGTAATTTGCGTGCTATTTGCTGCAGTTTGGAGCCAATTTGCATGCCTATTTGGCTTTTGGCTTTTGGCTTTGGCTTCACTTGACTCTTGGCTTTTGGTTTTTGTTTTATGTTGTTTTTTTTTGGCTTTGGTTTCACTTGGCTTTTTTGTTTTGGCCGCACTTCTGTTGAATGTATGTGTAGTATTGTAGTTTGCATATAACATTTCATAATTTCATAGAATACACTGCATATAAATTGCATGTAAACTGCACAGAAACTACGGTCGTAATATGAGCTTATATGCATGCGGTTGTGAGAGGAATTGAGACCTGTTTTCAACAAGTGTCCCAACTACTTGCTGTTCTTAAAGTTCTTAAGACCCTATTTCAAGACACTTGTTGAACTGTTGTTCTCCAACTCTATTTGCTTGAACTGTGTTTCACAATGGTTGCATGGCAGTCAGAAGTTTCCCTATGTACCTTTGAGTTTATATGCATGCTTATCGGAGAGAAACTGCAACCTTTTTCAACATCAAGTGTCCTAACGAGCTCTTTTTATGTCGGAAAAAAGTATCTCAGGACACTTGTTGAATCTGGCCTCCTACTATATCTATGTGAGTTGATGTGTGTGAAACCCTAAAGAGTCCCTAAATGACACCCTAAAGGAACCCTAAAGAAACTATAAATGAAAACCTAAAGAAACCCTAAATGACACCCTAAAGAAACCCTAAATGAAAGCATCAATGAAACCCGACAGAAACCTTAAATGAAACCCCTAAATGAAACGCCAAAGACATCGTAAAAGAAACCCTAAATGAAACCCTAAAGAAACCCTAAACGAAACATATTTTTTTGCATTGTTGCCTTCATTTTTCCATAGGTTTCAGTTTCTTCATTTTTACATGAGTTTTCTTCATGCCTTTACCTTCTGGCTTCTGGCTTTTGGCTTCTGCGGCTTCTGGCTTCTGACTATTGCGGCTTCTGGACTCTTTGGCTTTTGGCTGTTGGCTTGTAGCATTCGCTTCACATCGCATTTTGCATGTGGTTTGTTGGTCTTTTGGCTTTTTGCCTTTGGCTTGTGCGAGAGGAATGAAGACCCTATTAATACGTGTCCTAACTAGCCCTTTTCGGGGAAAAAAACGCATGTCAGGACACTTGTTGAATCTGGGCTCCAACTATGTTCATGTCATTTGGGTTGAGCAATGGTTGCAAGACCCTCAGACGTTTACTCGTGGGTTTCTATGCATGTTTGTGGGAGAGGAACTGAAACTCTTTTCAACAAGTGTCCGGGCTAGCCCTCCTTTCAACAAGTGTCCGGACTAGCCTTTTTCCATCATTGAAAACCCTTGTTTCAGGACACTTGTTGGATCTGGTGTGTATTGGCTTCTGGCTTCCGGCTGTGGCTTCTGATAAAATTGAAGAAAACTATGGAAAAATGAAGAAAATTATGATAAAATTGAAGAAAACCATGAGATAATCGAAGAAAACCATGGAAAAATTGAAGAAAACTATGGAAAAAGTAAAGAAAGCCATAGGAAAATTGAAGAAAACTATGGAACAATTAAAAAAACAATAGAAAAAGGGAAGAAACATATGGAAAAAAAACAAGAAAACCGTTGAAAATTAAATTGAAGAAAACCATGGAAAATTGAAGAAAACCATGGACAAATTGAAGAAAACTATGGAACATGTTTAAAAAACATAGAACAATTGAAGAAAACCATGGAAAAACCATGGAAAATTGAAGAACACTATGATAAAATTGAAGAAAACTATGGAAAAATGAAGAAAATTATGATAAAATTGAAGAAAACCATGAGATAATCGAAGAAAACCATGGAAAAATTGAAGAAAACTATGGAAAAAGTAAAGAAAACCATAGGAAAATTGAAGAAAACTATGGAACAATTAAAAAAACAATAGAAAAAGGGAAGAAACATATGGAAAAAAAACAAGAAAACCGTTGAAAATTGAAGAAAACCATGGAAAATTGAAGAAAACCATGGACAAATTGAAGAAAACTATGGAACATGTTTAAAAAACATAACAATTGAAGAAAACTATGGAAAAACCATGGAAAATTGAAGAACACTATGATAAAATTGAAGAAAACTATGGAAAAATGAAGAAAATTATGATAAAATTGAAGAAAACCATGAGACAATCGAAGAAAACCATGGACAAATTGAAGAAAACTATGGAAAAAGCAAAGAAAACCATAGAAAAAAGGAATAAAACCATGGAAAATTGAAGAAAACCATGGAAAAACCATGGAAAATTGAAGAACACTATGATAAAATTGAAGAAAACTATGGAAAACATGAAGAAAATTATGATAAAATTGAAGAAAACCATGAGACAATCAAAGAAAACCATGGAAGGAATTGAAGAAAACCAGGGAAAATTGAAGAACACTTTGGAAAAATTGAAGAAAACCATGAGACAATCGACGAAAACCATGGAAGCAATTGAAGAAAACCATGGAAAAATCGAAGAAAACCATGCACATCATGGACAAATATAGAACAACATAGAAAAAACAATGCAAAAGCGAAGAAAAATCATAGAGAACTATGGAAAATAGAGGAAAAACGCTGGAAAACCAGCGAAAACAATGGGGAAATTGATGAAAACAGCTGGAAAAACGATGAAAAAGCAAGGAGCCCAACCCCGAACCAAAAAAAATAAAATTGCCAAAAAAAAATAAAATTGCCAACTTAATTTCGCACCCGTTTGCAAATTTGTGGAGGCCGGACAGCGAGGTCTATGACGTACCTGGAGCTCTGCCAATTTCATTGGATGATTTTGCGTTGGGTTGGGCGCGGAAGTGAGTGCTTACCGCAAGCTTGCAAGTTTTCCTCAGATTTTCAGCCTAAGGGGATTTTCCGCACACCTTGTGCGATGGAACGCATTCTTCGTTTTCGCTGACTGGTGCAAATGGTTTTCGTGTCAAAAGATGTGTGATTCGGGTGCTTGGATTGGGGATTTGAATCCGGGATGGAAACGCATGCCTTGCATTGACTCCAGCCACATGTCTTGAGCCGGTGAGCACTTATTATCTTGCAAGTTGTGGAGACCCCTACAACAAATCAAGTCGGTTTCAACTGTCTAGCACATTTCAATGACGCAGATGCGCAACAGATCAGCATCAAAAGCAGCCGATTGAACGGATAGACATAGTCGGCTTCACTTCAGACTGGCGAGCCTATAAAGCGATCTGCAGCAACCATGCCAGAGCTTGTCATTCGTTCTTGATCTCAACCATTCTGCGCTGATGGGATTGCTCGGGCGATCCAAGAAAAAGGACACCCAGGACAGAGTCAGACAGCCCATATGCTTGCAACTTACTTGAGCATGTTGCAGCATACTGCAGCATTCCTGTCAATAGCTGCCTCATCCCATGTCAGACCGTAGTGGCAGATGTGGCAGCTTCCAGGATGCAAAGTCACCTGCAAAACATGATCTCGAATCTGGTGAGTTTACCGGTGCAGTAGCTGGACATGGAGATATCG